GATTTCAGGATATCGATTGGGAACCATGATTGTCCAACAGGATAAAGCTGTTGTACATGAAGCATAAGTCTCGAAACTGTGGATCCTGCACCGAAACATCCCAACTGGGGATCGAGTCGGATTTGGGCTCCAGTGGAAATGTGGGGATTTGTTGATGAGACGAGTTTACACGCTTGGAGGTGTATCCTATGAATTATGAATGAAACGCAGCCAGTCGTCGTAAGGGGAAGTAGTTCGAAGGTTATCTAATGCAGACCCTAATTCAAAATTTGCCTGTGAAAGTTGAGCTACTATCATGAATAATGAAGGTGTGTTGTTAAATAACTCTGGCATTCTTTTTAATTTCTTTGGTGGAGCTAGAAACACTCTCTAGTATAACTCAGTGTAATGGGGTCTATTTCGTTTTCCTTTACTTTACTGAGTGGCGTCATCATCATAGTGAACTTCATCATTCTGGATATTTTGGTCACCTATATACCGGATAAACCTAATGGCATTTTGCGCTCTGTACAGTTTATGAAAACAGCTGATTCAGGCGGTACATCTACTTTTGCCAGGTACAGATTACGTGAACAGCAGCTCACACTCGGATTTCAGAATTGGATCGAACCAGGATTTCCCAATAGAATTCACCGTCATCTCAATCATCGTTCACACTTATTCTAGCAGCTAAACATCGAATGAAAGAGCAAACACGACACAGGTGGCATGAGGCAATCAACCCTGTTTCTCGAGGGGAGTCAAGGTCAACAGATCGATGAGCACCTCATCTGTTGAAAACAAGCGCCAACCAACTTTTAACACCTACTAGTGAACTGTCCAGTGCGTGTTTATCATCCGAAACGATCCTCGATCGTTGGAGGGTTGCCCGGATCAAACGAATCCCAAAGACAGGATCTTAAATGTACTGCCAAATAGCCTGCAAACCAGTTGAAAGCTTTTGAAACTGTTGTGTTGCGCCGCATAATACCCGTATCTAACTCCTTTCATTCACTACAATTTGCCTTTAAACCCCATGTGTTTACACCAGACGCTGTTGCCCATATTGTTTACTCTACTGCATCCGTTATAGACAAGGATGCGAGTACCGGTCATTTAAATTTTCTTGATTACGCAAACGCCTTTGGCTCTCTCGAGTGAACGTCTTTCTGATTCCTGTCTGATACCTGAATTGTTGCACGTTCTAATTCAATACTTGTCCCGTAGGACCCAGTTTACATCACTGAATGGGTTATAATGTTCTTCTAATAACAGTGAATTCGGTGTTTTTTAAGGTGCTATTTGTCCCCTTCTTGTTTTCTATGTCTATGAAAAAATTTCTCCAACCCCAGCAATTGTATTGCTTGCAAGTATGCAAGAATATGAATGTTATTGTGATTCGGTTGCCAATCCCCTGTTTCACACGGTTCTTGACCTCTCGAGGACGACCTCAAGCAACTTCACGATTGGTCTGTGACCCAATCCATTGTACTTAATATCAATAGATGCGTTGGGTTTCAATTTAGTCTTAAATCCGGTCCCCGTTATCTTTGATTAGCAAATAATCTCCCCGATTTTATGGATAATAATCGGAACATTCCCAAATTTTCATCCGTTAAATACCTTGGTATCACCTGTCCTGGTGTGCTTATATCATCAGGGTTTTTACAAAAGTTAGAAAACTGACTTTTTATGCTTACAGGCTCAAGACATTGGCCGCATCACAAGCTTATTCTTAAATTTGCGATTATCTGCATTCTTCCACATTGACTATACTGTTCCGCGATTTTTATTCCTGGACTGAAGGAAAAAGACCACTTTATTTTCCAGATCCTTTAAACTTTTGTCACGTTATAGTGGAGTCCAATGAATTGTTTTAGTCGAGTTCTTTGTTTCCAAGCCTCTTGAGGCCTGTGATATCTTTATCTACAGGGTAACACGTAATCAAGGGCACTGTCTACACCAAGAAATCATAAAAGCCCCGTCGAATCCAAATGTCAACTCCTTCCCGCGCGTTCGTTCACATATACAAACAGTGTAATTCTATTCCTTGTTCGGTTGTTGGTTACTCGTCAGGCTGTTCTCATCCAACTCAGGGAAAAACATTTGCACTAATTTTCTTCTATCATTCAATGCAATACATAATTTGTTATATTGTCTTTTTGTTGATAGTCATTGGTTTTAAAAATCCGCTTTACAAAGTCGGAAATGGTTAAAAATTCACCGTTTGGGTACATGAAGCGTTTCTTGACTTGATTTGGCCGTCAATATGGAAGCCAAGATATGGGTTTCGCGCTAGAATTAAACTGTTAATCCCACGTTACCTTTGTCATACTAGTGAGAATTGACCAGTGGATTATCTCAGGATTCAGTCCTCGGACAGTTGCTGTTTCTGTTATTCATCAATGACTTAGTAGGTCTAACAGCTTCACCATGCTTCGCCTTCACATATGATACGAAGGTGGTTGAATCAAGTGACAGAATTCACCTGGTGAGAGATATCCAGCAGTTGGTTGAATGGTCAGCCAATTTGGACTTGGATCTAGATGCAAGCAAGCGTCATCTATTGTTTATGGCACAGAATCCTTTAGTAGCAGCCGAAACTTCGGGAGATTTTAAATTATACACAGTAAAGGCAGTCACGGATCTTGGAGTACTAATGACTACCAATTTCAATTGGGACGAACAATGTGAAATCGCAGCTCGCTAAGCTAGAGGAGACATTTTCGGCCTGAGTCGGTGCTTTCATTTATAAAACCATTGTACAAAGTATTAGAAAGATCCTATTTTTAATACTGTATCCAGTCCTGGGGAAAATACAGAGACTGATTACAAGAACGGTGGAGGAGAGGAAAGATAAATCATATGAGCAAAAATTACTCGACCTCAATCTATTTTTACTGGATCAAAAGTGAATTCGCGGGGACATTGTAGAAGCACGCAAAGAGATGACCGTCAACCGTGTAGCCCAAAGGTCCCGACCCGGTGGTTAGCAGTTCGAGACCTGAAAGGAACTCAAAACGTATGCGCTTCTGACGAGTCCCAAACAAGATGAAACAGCTGTCCAGTGCTCCTCATCACAAAGATTTCCATCTAATCTACCTCGAGGGGAATCAACTATCTCCCAAATGGTGAAACCCATACATCCAATATCACCAACAGGGACTGGTACCTCTAGAAAAAACCGAATGGGTTAGTCCATACATTCACCGTCTAAATATAAACATGTTTAAATTAAAGCTAACGGTCAAGGTCACAGGTCATTCCCAACGCCTTGCACACCGGTGTTTTCTCCAAGCTAAACTCAATCTTTCCAATTTGCAGAAACGATGCCTGTAGAAAGACGGAAACCTGAGCTGTGCGAACAGGAATTATTTTTAACTTCTATCCTACCCAGGTAGAAATATGCACAAGTTTAACATCAGCAATTCACCTATGGTTCTTCTGACCTGTAAAGTTTTGATTACAGTTTTTCAAAGGTATTATGTACCTGAGATGTTGCGTCAAACTATTGCCGAAAACGATTTTTACAACGCTGTGTTGCTGTGCTCCCTATTCAAATTCATACCAGGAAAAGGAAAATTCAAAATTGAAACTGATCTGTTTATTTTATGATAACCAAAATAACAACTACTTAAAATAGTGAATTGAAATCCTTCGAGATTTCTGATTGCTGTGTGAAAAGTATAACGCGTCCATGAAATCGGTTCATTTTTGACCTACCTTTACTATTCGTTTATGTTCTTCCAATCCGCCCGTCGAGGATGAACGTTTTGACTTTGATTTTCCCGGACTGTTGAGTTGATCGGAATCGTCACTCGTACCCAGGGTGGACGGATTACTCCTCGAATTAGTTTGCCAAAGCTGATCGTTGACATCGACCGCGGAATTGAATATACCGGTGGATTGAGCAAACAAGGGTGCTTTCAAAGCTTGTGTGATCGATTCAATCGAATAGGTCACTTGTTCACATGGATTTTGACAATTGCACTGACTCGGTGGTAGTATTTCTGCACAGAGAATGAAATAAAAACTATCAGTGTTATTTCTTAGTACTTTTCTGTTGTGATAGGAAAGGAAGCTACGAGTATAGTTTGATGTTATTTCTGAAGTGAAATCCGTGAGATAAACCAATTGTATTTATCACTTGAATTTCAGTAAAAATCCCTACGAAACGTAACGAATTTGCTAGCACCATTTTATTTTTTTAATTACTACACGTAATCAATTACAAAGAACTAGCAACTGTGCCACAACATATGAACAAAAAATTTGTATATTGTGTTCATAGGTTGTATGAGCATGTTGCTTCCCGGTTACCCTTACCAGGAAAAGGTGATAACCTCGAGGTGGCCATCCAAAACCTTTGGCCAGAAAGTCATACCTGCAAGATAAAAGGAAGGAGCTCAAAGTCCGCAGTTCATTGAAGACCCGTGTCCAGTTCATTAGATCATACTTTCTTTGTACGGGGTCAAAAATGCCCAATACAACTTGATGCCCAATGGAGCCGATGACCACTACCACAACTAGGAAGTTGTGCCTGTGGTTCGCATGCCTCTTGTTGGTTGGTTTGGAATCAAGGATTTTAGCCAACTACCTTAGGTGAACTGCCAATAGTTTACCAACCCGGTCGTGACCCCAGATATTGACTTAACGTCCTCTCACTTTGGTGGAAATATTCCTCCGCCACGAGAAGGCCATGAGTAGGACTTCCTCAGCAGACGATGTTTGAGACTGATCTTAGTATCGTTTTTCGAGGCTTTCGGAAGATAGCATCAATCCCAAAATCCAATCCCAAAGCCTATTTTAACTCAAACTATTGAACGCGTGAAACGTCTAACTAATTTAGCAATATATTTTCCTAATGATAGTGTTCAGTTACTACATATTTCAATCTCTGGTCTCTGGAAAATTGGTCACGGAATAGAACTGTCGCATATTCGGATTATTGAAATAAGGAGGAATGGTAGTTGATGATTCAACGTAAAAAGATCAATGGGGTTACGCTATTGAGCGAGACTCATCGGATGTAGTATACAAACCTTCTGGTGGACCTGATCATAGCTTTCTCAGACAATCATTTGTGTAGACTTAATTATTGATTTCTGCTTGTTTGAAGACCTTGAAAATTTGTTTTGCACATCCTATATCACCAGGTGAGAATAATTTCGCAGTGATCACATATATATACTTTTCTATCCACTATTAAAGAGCTCTAATGAGAGATGAGCTTCAATGTATACCTTTTAAACCTCAAGTGAAAAGTTGTAACATCAAATGAATCCGTCGTAATCCAACTAATCGAATTCCACCGAAAACTCCACAAATTGATTGCAAAGTTTATTTTAGTAATACATTTTGCTTGAAAGCACAAAAGATACCATACGGATTAATTCACTGACTTCGGAAAGTTGTATATCAATCCTCCAGTACTGTTTAAAAGAGCGACAAAGTGCGTGACGTAACCAGCGAGCAGTCACCTCCCACATTTGTAATAACTTAGTTCATTCAGATAGAGTGACTTTATTATTCGAAAGGATTAGCTCATTTCTAATATAGCTCTAGGCGTGCTTAGTGCTACTGGGTGAGACTGTGAATGACGGATGGGAGAAAAGATTCAGTGATATACCGGATGTTAATTTTAAACATAGCTTCATGCTTCTTCATAAAGTCCCCGTGCTGGAAACTCTTCTCCACTTAGAAGAAAGTCACACCTTAAAATTAAGGCAGTAGTGGGTCGAATACTGTATTTATCCCAATCCAATTTCCATTGAACCATAGATAATATACACATGTAGCCAGGCTACGAAATACCCCATGAAGCACCCGGTGCAAAACTTTGATCGTCTGCAATACCACGGATAACCGGGAGTTATTCTTATCATCACCTATCACACCCACTGACCTATAATAATCTCCTAGATGTAATCAGGTTTTGAGAAAATGAAAGAAAGATGATAAACGACGTAACAAGGATAAAGACCGTTTGAAACAAAGCTGAGTAACAAAGGGAGAAGCTGTATGCGTCAGTAGGTATTACCATTGTCATTGTGGATCCAATTCAATAATCCATCGGGGGATACATTAAACAAATTTAATTTCTGTTAGTCAGATAATGCTTTCAAACTGGATTTTGCTATTCAGGTGAAATATGATCAGATCTTTCACTGTATCCTTGCACCACCGTTTAGCATTTGGTTAGTGTGCTTTTCAATGCCAGAAATACGTAGGCGTTTGCCTTTGGTTTAAAGGAATCGGATAAAACAGACAGAGCTGTGCCTGTTTTGTTTACCATAAACATTGACTTTACAAATGAAGTGATCAGAGATCAAAATGCACCTAGGGTTGACCAATTACGACCACATTACAATTCGGTTGGCCTCTATATTGGGTAATAAGACTAAGTATTCCCAAAAAACGAAAAAGTGAAACAAGTTAGACCTAAACGGTAGGCAAACGACAGAAATGCCATCCTGGATGAAAGCTATAAATATGGCAAGAGATCGAAAATGAATCAGTAAAATTTAATCTGTATCAATAAACATTCTGAAAAAGACGAGAACGATTGTAATGTTGACAGTCAAAATGAGCAATAAATAATGTATATATTTAGCGGGGTTTTTTTTTGTCGAAGATCAGTGCAATAGGCTTGATCAAACTGGCTTTATCCGGACTACTATCTGCTTTCGCTGCAGCGCTCTGAATTAGACATCTTGTCAGCCATCAACCTTCTACCGCGGGGCAGAGGGGAGATTCACTAGTTCAGAAACACTGCTGAGTGAAAACTTCAATTGTGATTTTGTGCTTTACAATTGGTTTGTATGGCAAATTAGTATCGGAACTCAACAACCCATTAAAATGCCCCCCTCTCCTTGAACCTTCGGCGCGTCTGGTGAAGGAAAGTTTGACGCTTCGTTTTGACCTTTCGCAGGTGCAGCGATACACAGTAACGATTCTCCGATTTAGGAAGAAAGACTTAATAGGCGGTAGCCAAGTGTACCTAGTCTGACTGCATGCATCAAGTCTGACTTTTCGGGACACATGCTAAGAACTGAAGTGCCTGAATATCATAAAGTAGAAATCAGCCTCTCAAACTGTGCAAAAAAGTGCAAATAGCGTTTGTTTTCTTACCGGATCGGTTTAGAGGAGAACGGGTACAAGCAAAACACTGCTACTTCATAAGCACTGATGATGTCACCTCGGCTGGTGGTGACACATTTGCAAACAAATTGCCAAGCTCGGGGCAAATAGGAGAAATGGAATTTAGGCTTGGAAAGAAGTGGGTGACGGCGATGCAGTTGGATATTCACATACACCATGCTTGTGTATTTTTCAAATAAAATCATGAGATCCACCTTCCTTTGTGACATTTATTCAACCATAAAACAGGTACCGCCTAGTCTTTCCCTCGACGTATACAGAGGTTTTCACAAAGTAGTGAGGAAGGTTTCGGATTGGNTTCGCAGACACTCCAAACAGATAGGTGGGTGGGTGTGTTTGGGAGTTGCAATCATGTTTTCAACCAGTTTCGCCAAACTGAAGTACACTCAACAGTATACTTCTGTACGTGTAAATGACCCCTGTGTGTAATTGTTTTTCCACCTCAGTATAGTGTGAATCATGATTAAGATATACTGATTACCGGATGGCTGTTTCGACCCGGTTGGATCTCAACAGCAGTGCAAATCCACCGACCCAAATGGGGNCCCGGGATCTTACAGGTAGAACGCTAGCATACTACCCATTTGGATGAACAGACCGTTTCTCATTTTGAATTTACACGAAACAGCACAACTCGTCAATGCGAGCTAGTTGTGAGTATGGGACCTCGCTCATCTCACCACTAGCATTCACCATTCACAATCTGATTGTGTTGTTGTATAGTGGTAAGGGACGATTTGATTTGTTTAAATGGTGAATTCGTCATGTAAAGTAGGCGTGAGCTGAAAAAATGAAAATGAAAAAGGATCTGATCAGCTACCCGGTGGCCGAGTTCGTCGATGCATTCGTACTGCTAATGAGACCCAACCAGGTCGAAACAGGTCTCAATTTCTTCCCAGCTTTTCAGCTTACTCCTGGTTTACACGACAAATTCACCATATAAATAAATCAAATCCTTCATTACTCCCATTTACTGATTAGTCGTTTCATCTGTTGTGAACTTTCAGCTAAAAGGGTTTCGGTGCTTCCGAACAGAGCGTTTTTAAGTTCTTTGAATTGAATGCCCATATGATCACATCAAATTAAAATTTTCATAAAGAATGGAACATAAGCGGTAGCAGATTTATCAGTGGGTTAGACAAAGTCGAACCAGTTATTCTGGTCAATAGAAAAAAACAAGCGTAACAAGGTACCTCCCAGCCATCAGAAAGCGTGCAAAAAAACTCTTACAATACTTTAGGATTCTCACAGGCCGACTTGTCGTCTCCGAGGAGTGAGCCGCAGCAAAGTAATGATTTTCGCATAATAGTGCTAGTCTGGCGTTGACTGAATATCAGCCGTGTTCAAATAATCACGGTCACCAGTAGAACAACCCGGATGTCTTGACGTCAAATACCGCCGATCTACCGCTTTTTCCTCGCGCAAGAAATCAAAATAATAATTACATAACAAGTATGAAAACAGCTCACCTACGACTTTCAAGGTTATTGGTTCTCACCAGCCCCCTTCACTCTTCCGTAATGGTTTATTTTCGGATTCTCAATGCATGCAAAATTTCTTGAATAATCCTTGAATGCTCTTACACCTAAATATCGCTTTAATGATGGCAACTCAGGGAGTTGTATTGCTTATATACCTCGTTCCTGAAAATTTTCACTGCATAGAAGCGATATTTTAGTGTCACAGACCTTCTTTTCAATTTACCGCTGTTCCCCTGCATAAGGACAGTAGTCCAAAGAATCAGATGTCATCGCTGCAGTTAATCACGCAAGAGTTGCACCGTGTGTTCGTCTATTTCGGATGAAAAAAGCTCAAATCTCGGTAGAGAAACATCAACATTTCATTTTTTTCTGAGAACGGTTTGATTTCAATTTTAGTGTGAAATCAGACACAACCTGTCCATCTCCGTTTCACACACACGCATGTGCATTTATGCTCTAAAAATGACAAAACAAAAAAGAGTGTGGTCACAATGAAAGCCAGTACTGTGTTCCAACATCAGTTCAGTTCAGTTCCCTTCTTACAACCATGCACTTTCGTGCGCCGGTTTTGGTTGCTGTCTTTTGATTGCCCATTTCGATAAAATAGCAGAATGATAATTAGAATGTTGAGAGCAGATTTAAGCGAAAGGTAGCACATTTTCTTAGACTGAAGTTACAAGACTAATGAGTAGAGGAATGAGCACCACTGTTTGCGACACCCAGCCATATCGCTGAGTGTCTCTAACCACCAGCGACCATGATCTCTGGGTACCCATCCGGGGACCGTTTTCGGCAGCTCAGTGTATACGTGATCCAAATTGGTTTGGGTTCTAACACTTTAGACGGATTCACTATTTATGTACACTTTTTTATGGTATTGCTATATATTGGTAAAATATTGTTCTGCTTTCCTCTCCATATGCATTTGTTCATCGATTTGAACGAAAGCACATCAGCTTGGGACGGTGGCCAAGTGGTGTTCGGTCACCAACTTGTGACCTGGGTGGCCCGGGTTCAAACCGCTCCACCCTCGTCCGTCTTCCCTATATCAGTATTTTCCCCAGGCAGCCCCCTTACTGAAAGTTGACTGTACATTTGTATATTCAGTAAATAGAAAAAAGAAGTAACAAGACACTTTTTTAAGAATACAATTCATGCCGTTCCAGATCGAAACGTTTGCATGGCTGGGGATGAAACGCGTACTAAATTTCATTTTGGGGCTAGAATCAAAAATAAGTGCATTTTTGGACTTACCAACCAGTGTGCTCATTCGAATCCCGCATCGCATCATATTGAGAAGCGTGCAATCTATAAAACCAATATAATATTCAATGAATAACACATGTAATATTTTCAATATAACGACCGATTTGAAAAATCATAGAAGAAAACGGTTTGCATAGAGCATTATTCTTCCATATTCAAAAGAAAACGCAAAGAAGTTTGGGCTCAGCCTAAAGCATCTTGTTCTATCTATCAAATACAGGCCTTTGAAGGTCGAGTGCTAAGCCGATGGTTGCGAAACAATTTAATCCTGCAAACATAGGTGAGATTAAAACAAATTGTCATTATTTTATCGCCATTTTCCTGGTCAGTTTGGAGAAGAAGAAGATACAGTAGTAAGACGTTCGGTTATAGATGTGCGTCGCAAAAGTATAAACCAAAAAGCTGTAACTCAAAAATTAAAAAGAACAAACAAGCATACACTTCATTTTACACTGCAGCATTGCTTCTTAGCAATGACCGTTTCATCGGGATATTTTGCGTTTCTGGATTCGCGTGGATGCACATAGTACTACAGGCACAGTGACTATACTACCAGCTTTGAGTATTTGTTGAGCTATAGCGTCCG